AGTTGAGAGTAACGTCTGAACCTCGCTGTAGGTCAGGCTATGTTGATCCTTCTTCCATCCTGATTCTGAAAAGCCGGTATGTAAGCTTCTGTCTTTCAGTCCTGTTGAGACCCTGGAAGACTGGTGAAAGTTGAAAAGACATGCTGCTTCTTCCAGCAAATGTACAACTGAGATTTCAAAACATCCATGTTAAACAATTACATGGAAGAGACATTAAGCTGAATGCAGAGATCTTACATGAGTCTTTAGAAAAATGTTGCACTAAGTACTTGGAGATTGGGGACTATTTGAAAGAAAAGCTTGTGTGTTGCTTGTCATCTTGCTGTTCCTTGTCATCTGCTTAGGGCTGCTGTAGAGGCAGACAATTTGCCTGTGCTGGCATGGCTGTTGATATGTCGGGTTACTGCCTTTATCAACAGATTTCAAATGGCAGTCATGAAGAGGACTCCTTGTTTTGGTGTGTTACTCGTATGCATTTATCACAGAAATGGTCATTTTATGTGAATGTGTGCCTTTTTTTTTTCTCAGAGGCAATGACAATGGGAAAACTTCACAAAGAAATTGCACAACTAATCGTTCAATCTGCAGAAGATCCAGATAAATCAGACAGCCAAGTCATTAAGGTTAGTATAATTTTTTTATTATTCTTAAATCTAGTTGAGTTACTTCTATTGCTAAATCTTGGTGGAAGTGGGGAGTAGGGGGAAGATTGTCCCTGGGAATAAGTTGATCTCTTGTACCCTCTGCCTTTTTACAAATGAGCATTTTTATTCTTCATACAGGTTTTTAAGGATGATATAATTGGTTTATATTATCTCTTGGGTAACCACATTGCTGAAAAAGCTTCAGAAATTGTATTGATTACAAGACTTCCAGTAAAATTAGTTTCCTGGTTTTATTCTGCAGAGCACCTGTTTTGCTCAGCACCTTGTTGATAGTATTGTCAATGCCTTTGAAAAAGTCCTACTGAGATATGGCTTCTCAGCTATAAAGCCTGATTTTTATGATGATGGTTTTTTTCAGTTCTTCCCATATCTCATTATTAGACATTTCACAACTGAGTGACTTAGTCAAAAGAGCTCAGTTAGGCCAGCAACAGGAGCCTGTGGAGTGGCAGTGCTCCCTTTATTCAGCATTGCACAAGAGTATACTGAAGAGCTGTTCAAGTTTGCCTTAAAATAAATGGGGTCTTTATTTAAAATGAAATATTTCTTTACTGTTATTTTCTTTTTGTTCTGTATTGATTTCTTTTTTTAAATAAGTGTATGTTAAAACATTATAATACCTAATAGTATATTTATGGTTGCTTGTTTTTCTGTTCTTCAAGGATATTTCTCTGAAGACAAAAGAAATCTTGGCTACTTTAGCCTCACTTACTGAAGTTTCTGATGGCAATGAAAAACCAACCCTTAACTCTGAGGCCCTGAAACAAAAGCGATTTCCACCTGCTACAGAAAACTTTCTTTTTCATTTAGCAGCTGCTGAACAAATGCTTAAAATCTGATTTTGATGTGCTTCAGTGTTATGGACCAACTCAAAAATACTGTCTTTGCCATACAGATAGGAATACCTGATACTTTATATAGAACAATTACAGGTATAAGAGTGAATGTCATATTTACCGTGATATAATGCAGAATATCGGAGCTTGATGGAGGTGTATTTGGGAACATTCCTGGTGTCATTATCTTCCCCAACTGTAACTTTGTATATATGGCTCCCATCTTTCGTATCACAGTGTGGGTGCATATGCAAGTAGCACATGCCTGTGTGTCCACACTGTGCCAGACATTATTGTAGTGGCTGTCCTGCAGGTTCCAGATGTTGGACAGCTCTGTTCTTGTTCTGACTTGTCTTCCTGGGGTCTGGATCACGGGCTGCAGCACACGTGCTGTAAAACCATCACGGTTCGGATGTGCTAGTCCCTGCACAGGCATACACTGAACATGCGGTTGGTCTGAGTGCTCATTCTGGGCTTCCAGGTGTGTCAGCCTGTCAGATACTGCTCTTGCTCTGGACTGCCTGATACCTGGAAATCCCAAATAAATGGGCAAGTTCTCTTCTTTCTACTTGAAAGTGTCTAGGTGTAAAAAAAAAAAAAAAAGAAAAAAAAAGATGTCTGGGAAAATCTAGACGTGGTAGCCTTAGGTATATAAAGGAAGAGGTATTTTAAAGCTCAAGTGAGAGTTGAGCACCTCTTTTGGACTCTTGCCTTACAGGTTTTCCCCCCTTTCACTCCATCCCATGCCTGTGATGGAGGGAAAAGAGGACAGGATTACTACATTTAAAATGGGGCTTCCTAGAGGGGGTCACAGACAAGTGCTGCTGTACAGCTGGAGTCATTTAAGAAGTTGTTAGGGTTCTCAGCTGAGAAGATACCTGGCCATTCATTCCTGATCCATTTGACAGAAAATTCGCTGAGTTAAAGCCTCATGGACTAGAAATGTTCAAATGGCCAGGTACCACAGATGGAGCATCAACCTCTTAAACTGCTTGAGCTGTAGCAAGGGTACTATCTGATGGTGCTCTGTGTAGACTAAATGTAGATGGAAACTTTTGAAGTAATAGTGAGAACTGGGAAATAGTTTAGAGAAAATTAAAATTTCCCTACTTGTTTGGTTGCATAGCCATAGCTCAAGAGATTGATTTTTTTTTTTTTTCCCCCCATTGAGCAGCCTGAAACTATCTGCTTTGTAATCTTCTGAGAAGCACTTAGGTTTAGGGAAATACTCTGAGCCGAACAATCTGTATTTCTTCAGAACTGTCCACAACAAATCAGTCAATTTTGCAGTAGCACTTTGTTGTAAGAAAAAAATAACCTTTTCCTGGCCTTTGTACAGATAGGCTGTAGTGTGTGATTTTAAATAGAGATTTTATACTTATGATTAAAACTTTAGTAATCAATATTTATATTGTTAAATAATTGGATGTTTACTATTCTGAAACAGAGAGCTCATCAAAAACTATGTGCAAGCAATATTGGTTTGGGAAAGGGTGGTCCTTTTGCTATACATCATATGTTAAGGAAATTTATTTTAGAATGTGGGTAAGGAATGTGACATCTGTGTATAAAATGGCTAGTTATTATAGTCAGAAAATGAAAGTGCTTCAGAATAATCCCCTATTTTCAGGGGTGTAAAATTCTACTTTAAATACTTAGTCTGCAGTTTAAATTCTGAACACAGAAGAGCGTGTGTTTTTTTTTTTTTTTTTAAACTTCTGAGAAAAATACTGCAATTGCCTTCGTTTACCTGTAAGTGCTCTACAGCTTTTTTTCCTCCATTTGCCCGTTAATGTTTTTTCCTAATGGTTCTTTAGTATTGCTGCTTCTGTTTTGGGACTTCCACAATAATCGGAATAGCAGAACTGCAAAATTATGCTGAAAATTCCATTCAGGACCTGCTTTAAAGTCCACTGAAATGGAAGTCTTTCACCAAGAAAAACCTGAACATGCTTTCAGTCGGCTGTTGTAACACCACATGGTAACGGTGAAGAAATTCACATAGTTTCTTATTAACAAAAAGCCTTAAGATTTATCATTCAGGTAGTATGGGTGTTAGAGGCAACCACAAAAAGCAGAGAAGCGCAGTTACAAACTAAATCTTGAATGCTTCCTTTGCTTTCTGTTTTGGAAATGTTTAAGTTGAAAATCTTGTTGTTGTGTTAGATCCTGTATTCTGACGTTTGTGTGAAACAAATGAAATATAATTTTGCACTTAAGGAACTGGACTCATAGCATGCTTCTGTCTATTAAAGAAAGCCTGAACAGTCTACCCTTTAATTTATGTAAATGTATTCTTGAATAGTTATGACCACTGAGTCACAGGCTTTGGCTCTTAGTTTTTGCAATAGTGGGATTAAGCTACAGCTTGATGTTTAGGTCAGAAGTGGAATACTACCCATTCAAACAGTTTTGTCACCTGTGCTGATTTTCTGTCAGTGCCAAGACAGATGTATTGGCCTCCTTCAGCTTCAGTACTGTCAAAAGATTGTCCTGATGTTCTTCCATTTTCTTAATGCCTTTTGACATAGTTTCCTCTCAAAAAGATTTAGAATAAAATAGGGAAATCTGAAAGGTCAGAACAGGGAAAGATTTCTGCTTATCTCTCACTTCCCTTTCCCCAGGATGCGTACAAGCAGACTGTGTGTGCAGTTGCTGGTTTTGCAAAGTCAGATGACATCCTTTGTTCTTCCTTCTAGAAACAAAGACTGTATAAAATGAAATCGTCATTCCTTGTTCTCATCTTACTGCCTTTCTGTTCTTGGATAAATATGAAATGGTGAATGATGGTACCTGTCAACCTGCTAAGAGACATGCCTCCAAAAGGCATGCAGCACGTAGAATAATTGAAAGCCTTGAATTCAAATTAAAATTGTAGTGCTGCTCCTTCCTCAGCTGAGGCAAAAGGTGCTCCCCGAGCACCCCGCCTTGGTCGTTGCCCACGCGAACCAGTTAGTGTGATAGCATTAGCGTAACATCTGCACTACCTTTGCAGATACTGGAATGTAGGTAGTGAACAGAGCAAAGGCTTGCGAAGGGGAGCAGGATAAACGGTCGATCCCTTCAGTTGTGATTTTGCTGAGTAAATTGGGCTAGTCCCTTAAGGCTAACTCTGTTTTTAATGCTTTCGTCCCTGGGGTTTTAGTCCCTGGTGTGAGCTGGTCTGCCTTGTTTCCCCCACAAGCAAGTGTTAGGGGGAATGTTCTGATTGAGAGCAATACTGTGCTGTGTAACCTGGACAAAAATGAATGCAGGACACCTGACAGCATCCATCTTAAAACTGTGGGCTGCTTCTGCTTTCAACTTCTGACTGCTTCAGTTCCCCAGCTACTGAAAAGTCTAATGATAATTTGTTAATAGGGTGTTGCGAGATGTCATTTGAAGCAGCTCAATTTCTAGATAAAAAACCAAGCCATACAGCTCCGTGTAGGCAGTTCACAGCTGCCTCGTTGTGCCTTACGCCCTTCCCTAGGCAGCTGTCTGGCCTGAGCTGAGTCAGAGGGGTCTGTGGGCAGGTGCCATCATTCCTCGTAGCCGCCGAATGATGTGAGACTCGGGAGGAGACTCCAAAGACTGGGCAGCAGCTCCTTCCCGAGCAACACTGCGGCATGTGGCACGGCGTTCGCTGTGTGGTAGGGAAGGAGCCGCAGCGCAGGATTCCCTCCCCGCCTGCATCCTTCATTCCTCCACCCCTATGGCCTGCGGGGAAAAATGGCATGGCTGTGTTACAGGCTTGGGAGTAATGCGGGGACACGAGCTCCAGCAGGGGAAATGCTTTGATCTCAGTATTTCCTAGCATGGGAGTGGCTGGTTTGCTGGGTGATTTTTTTGTTTGTTTGTTGTGATTTTTTTTTTTTTTAAGCTACGTTAAAGGAACATGGAAGCCTTATTGTATATTCCTAAATTTCAAGATGACAAGCTGAGTAGGTGGGGAACTGCTAGCGTATTGTGCTGTACTGAGACTTAAGTCTTCCTTGAAGCTGAAAGCTGCCATCTGTTGTAGTTTACCACACCTTAAACTGGTTCCACCACTGTCACTGAACAGGCTGGCCGGTGCTGAAGGCAGGAGGCAGGCCTGCCTTGGGCTGGTACCTTGTTAATCCAGTCTAAGTTACAAATGGGAAGGGTGTCCTGTAGGTGCTGACTCTCCTCCCAGTTCCTTCAAACACGATGCTCTTCTGCTTGTCCCAGTCTTGTTCCCCTCACTTAAACCTCTGGACTAGCAGGTCGCCGGTCCTGGCAGTTCTGCTCTCATAATGACTTTGTTTCAAGACTGAGGATGCCAGGGCCTTTTTAGCATCGTATTTTCCCTGCCCTGATTCAGGAAGCAGCTGAATCACCCAGGCTGACAACTTAAATGGCAGGTGCCTGCCCTCCTCTTCTGGAAGATTCTGGCTAGGGCAATAGAACCATTTCTGAGAATGGGGGAAAGGAAAGAGGTATTTAATAACCCTGAGCGAGCTGTGTTTAATATGGCAAATTTCAACTCGAGTATTCAGTAAGAAGCTGGTAGAGTTTGATAATGGGCAGCTGTAATAACAGACACTATTACCAGACCCATTCCATCGGCCTTACTCACAGAGTTGTAATGACATCAATTTGCTTAAAACATCCAAGCGTGGTGCCAGAGAATTTATAGCTTGTCTAGTTACCATGACGATTCAAAGTTCCTGAATGTGTTATCTTCAATTTGTTGGCTTTGCTCTACTATCCGTTGTTTTGGTTTGGGTTTTTTTCCCTCTTTGCTTCCATTGTGGTTCATGTAACTAGCATTTATTGTAGCCATTCTTAAATTACGTTTAAAAAAAGGAGTGGGGAGAGGGGTTGGTCTTCATTGTAGTGCCAATTAATGTTTACTGAGAGTGGAATTAGACCCCATCTGAGTTTGCCTTTGGTATGTTATTGAAATAGAATTCATAGAGAAATGGGGTTTTAGAGAATTTATCTGTAGGATGTTAGTGGTGCCACTGTTATTAAAGATTTGGAAGGAGACAAACACTTCACTGAGAGGCAGGCTGAGACTGTAAGCCTGTTCCACCTGACCCCGTGGTATCTAAGGAAAAGAGCAGGGCAAGCCACCTTCTCCCTAGCGTCCCCCCAGCTCAGGAGAGCCGAGGCTG